CACTCTCATATATTGATTTAACTGTTTTTTCAATAAATCTAATAACTCTAATAATATTCTAGAAGATAAAAACTAAAATAATATCAACAAGTAAAATATACTATTCTTACATTTCATATCGAATTTTTTTTTCTGCGCAAATAACATCATAAAGTCTACTTGAGATAATGTATATGTACATAATCTGTTTTCATACAAAATAATATAAAGAACATCGAGCAAACAATTATTATTTACTTTGTGGAAATAATTTATGCCATACAAATTGAATCTACCACCTTTTCTTTAAACATAAAATATTAATAAAACTCGTTCACCTAAATGCTTTACCAAATAGAATGAATAATATTGTATTTTGTAGTGATTCTCGAAGTAGAAACTGTATCGCGTAAAAAAACTCGAGTACTTTTTTTTTTTACTCATTGAATCCTGATTGTTAATATTTAATCAATTAGAGTATACGGTGATCAATATCAAGAATGAAAAGAAAAAAAAAAACAAAATTTGATTTATACAACGATAATCATATGAATATTTCTATTCATTTTCATATGTACCAATATATGATGACAGACAGATTTTAATTATAAGAATAACCGAGTAATAGTTTTTAGTAATATTGATCTCTTTCCTTCTACATAATAGATTTTTCTTTATCTTTTTGTGTATTTATTTTAGCTTTTCGTCAAATCAATTAGTTTTGATAAATAAATACATTCAAGTTTGACTTTGATAAAAGTTTATTTATAGGATAACTGAAAGATTATCATCCTATCAGAATCCTCATAACGTCACTCGATTAAAATATATTTTTCTAAACAACTTTGTAATTATCAATTGGTATGGCTTTATTACGATCTTCTAGTAATCAAGAATCTATTCAAAAGAATCCAATATGTGTTGGTATTCGTCTCATGTTTCAACGTATTGGTGAGTTTATGATTAAATTCTATGGATGTCAAGTAATATTAGTAAGATGAAATAAAACTTCGAAGCAATGAAAGTGTATCTGTTCGCTCAGTTGTAGATGTTTGATAAAAGGCGAATATAATCAAGAGTTTCTTTGATGGAAATTCGAATTTAACTTTGCTATATCTCCTCGACAGTCCGATCATGAGAAACTGTGTTAGATAAATGAGATATTATTTTCATATTTTGAGTTTTGCCATTTCTGGATTTTCGAAAGATTTTATGAAATATATTTCGTAAAGAATTTAGAGACTTATAGAAAGGAGATTAAGGCTTTTCTCTTGATAGAATGAGCGATATATAGAATCCGAGAGTAGTGAGCATTCGAATAATTGATATGTTTTGTGTGTATATATAGAAATGAAATAAATCTATTGTGTTTGAAATATTGAATTGAGTAGTGATTAAATCGAATGATTATTCTATTTAAAGGTGAAATTGATACATTGACTGAAAAATATCAAGCACAAGCAACAATCGAAGCTCGTTGGGTAATTGATATGTCAAGTATATTATCAATTGTTTCGTTAACTGATCACCAACATTTAAATAATGGAAAATCAGTATCCCTTGTAAAATATGCTAATGTTAATTGGCATCCTCAATTGTTTATCGAAAATGCTCTTGGAGATTTGAAAGAACAAATAAGATATAGTGGAAAGAAAATTTCAAATAATAAAGTTTGTATATGTGAACATCGTGAAATAAAAGGATTATTTTGGGAAAAACTTGAATTACATCATTTTCCATCTGATATTCAAGAATTAACTATTTCAATTGGTTCAATGTTCTATGATGATAAAGTATTACTCATTCCAGATCCATATTATCATAGTGGAATAAATCGTGAAGCATTCGTTGATCAACAAGAATGGTCATTGTATGAACATGTTGATGCAAAACAACGATTCATTCAAGAATATTCTCATAATGATTATGACGAAGAATCAGTTGATATAAGCTCAAATGAAGAACGAAGACGTTCAATTGTTTCTGTATCTTGTCATGCAGGTTAATTATCTATGAATTATAATGAATTAATCATATTATTGAATATGTTTTTTTAAGCACGTCGTTCTACTTATTTCTATTGGAATGGTTATTGTCTCGTTTTTCTAATAACTGTTTGTGCCTTTAGCATATTTTCAATGCCACCAAAGTATAAACCTATTATGATATAATAATGTTTTTCTGTTTTCATTATCTTTTAATATTCTATATATATTTTTTTTAATTTATATTATGTTAGTCTTCCACAAAATCGTCTTCAAACTGGAGCTACTCTTCTTCTTACTTCAATTACTTTTCGTTGGACAGTAAATCGATCTCTTGTAAGTTGACTAATAATCATTTAATAAAACAACTCATTTTAGATAATTCGAATATATTTAACGAATTTATAATAGAAATTTTTGTTTTGAAAAAAAGAAAAAAAAAAGTTCTATTTGAATAAATGTTGTTTTAGCCAACAATATCCTATTTGACATCATTGGATCGTTATTCAATAATATCAATATTTATTCTTGTTTTCTTATGTACATGGCATGCTATTATTGGTGCAATTATTTTCATTGAAAAACGTTCTTCAACAACTGCTTCAGATGATAGAAATTCTTGGATAGATCGTTCTGTATTCTTTGTTCTTTTTGGTCTTTATATATTCATGCATATAATCATGTTCATTTGGCTATATCGAGTACCACTTGCTCGTAGACGATATATGAAACAAAAAGATCTTCTATATAAAGAAAAAATACACAAACGAATCAATGAAGGAGAATTGCTTCAGCCTAAATATTGTTTTGAATTATTGAATAAGAACAATAACAAATACGATGTGTCGGAAATTATTCTCTAGATATAAAAATATTCTTAACAAGTTAAACTTAATAAAATATCTGAACATTTTATTCTGAACAATTTAACTTGAATTTGATTTCGAAAAAGCGAACTATAGAACATTTTATATATCAAATATCTAATATATATTATGATATTATCATTTAGAAACAGTTCAATTATTATTTTTATTTTTTTATATTTTAATTAATTTATCTATGTTTTTTTATTATAATTCAATCAATATATCGACATTATTCATCATAATAGACAACGATTTATACATTGAGTGACAATTCTCACCAGGGAGTCTTTTCAACT